GACAAATCACTTCCAAAGTTATACTTAGAGTTTGATAATAAACTAAGACGAGTGAGTAAGTTGGTGTTTTAACTTTAGCGACACTGTAAATAGTATAACCTACATTATGTTTAATAAAGTACACATAACTAATCTGATAGCGAGTTATAATTAAAAAAAAATATATGATATATATGCTTTTATTTATTATCACTGGCTAGTTGTGCAGGTGGATAAACATCGTATGGACTGTGATCTTTTCTCTCTTATTAATTTCAAAAGTGTCAAGGATATGGATCAAGTATCTTCAGAGGCAAAGTTAGATGGAAAAGTTGTTGTTAGGCATCTTTTTATTTCTTTCCCTACTTCTTTTTTTTTGTAAATATTTTCAACCTTCTCCTTCTGTTTTAAAAAATTTTTTTAACACTGACTAGTCACAAGACTAATACAAAAGATCCCCAATATCAGATGGTGTTGGAAATCCTGGACAAGTTCTGACAATATAAGCTTTATTAGTGGGTGGCAATAGGCTGATTGGTGAGTGCATTAGTATACTCTAGATAATATCAATTCCTAGTTATAGGGATGGGTCATAGTGCACAGTTTGTGTATCTCACTCATCTCTAGCTTTGTTTTTAAAAGAGAAATATTTACACTAGATAGTCATATATTTTTCTTATTCTGGTTAGGTTAGACATAGATCGAGTCATAAAAATAGATAGCTCTTTATTCTATTTCTTTCTAGTGATCTATAAATCCTCAAATAATATAAAGAAATATTAATTCTGATTGTTCCTAAATATGATTTTTTTTTAATAAAACATGTGAAAAGGCATGGGATGAGCCAGTTTAAAAAAAAAAAAATACTTTTATTTATTAAATTATAGTTTAATAAATTTTGTGAAAACAAGGATTCTTCAAGTAAATATCAATTATTTCATATATCTTTATATACTTTTATACAGTATATATAATATATAAATTAATTATGATTTATCATAACCAATTTAATTTAGATTAACTTCTACTCAGAAAGGAGGTGAACCCAATTGGGCACTAAATAGTATAATATATGGTTATTAACAATAAGTTTTGATTAGTTAGCATTAAGTTTAATTTTTATTATTTCATTAAACAAAATACTTTTCAATACATTCAAATATTATTTGCTTAGATTTCAGAAGGAAACATGCTATCTTCTTTGTTATTATTCATGATATTAGATAAATTCCTATTGACTGATTTTTATTTAAGTGAAACATCAAATTGAAATATTCCAAGCTAGAAGAATAGAGATTCTAGAGATTGTTAGGACAAGAAGATCCATGTGGGACATTTGTGAGAGTTAAATCAAAAGCTTTTCTTTGTGCAATTCTTTTAGTGATACAATTATGAACTTAATTCTTGATTGATAGAAGATTGGAAGTTATATCTTCATGTAGTCTAACTAGATTTGATCAGGTCTGAATAATTAAATATGACTTTCATAAGATAATAGATAAACCTGATCAAAAGTTGAATTTTTGATTTGGTTCTTAAGTAGTATTGAACTACAGACCTTGTGATTGCAACCTGGAAGCACTATTACTGTGTTATTGATCCATAGGTCTAAAAAAATATTAATATATTAATTCAATTAATATAAAAATATCAAGTAATTTTAAATTTTTATATCAATAATAATAAATATTATACCTAATGTCGGGTTTTACCCTTTACTACATGTATAAATAACATATACAGTATAATAATAATTTTAATAATGTATAAAAAATATACAGTACTTGTACATACATTATGAATGAATGAACCAATAATACTATAAGTAACCCTCCGATTGGTAAATTAAAATTAGTATTTACCTAATAGCTATTACATATAAAGCTCGTTATGTTCAATAACTTCAAATAACTTGAAGCTTGGTAAACGAAACTGCCTTTTGACAATGTAAGTTATCATTCATTATATTACCTGATAGCGAGATAGGCTTCGTGATAGTAATAAACCTTGCTTGGATTTATAAGCGAATGTTTTTATGCAATACACGGTGTGTACAACCAGATTGTCTCCATCCCCTAAAGGATCCAAATATACTATTTACTATCTCCTGAATATTTGTTGCCCAAATTTTATTCTTTTGTGTACTTTTTTTATTCTCACGAAAATCTCTTAATTTTCTGCAAATAAGTATGGTAATTTAAAAAAAGAAACAAAAAAAAAAAAAAAAAAAAAAAAAAACATAACAGTATAAACGCCAAAATTGATTAGGGGGAGAAAATTAACTACCATATAAAGATCAGCCACCGTGGCGGTACAGCGGCTCGAGGTTCCTGTTAATATGAAGTTAAAGTCCGAGTTATTAAAATTCATAAACTTGAACCTTTAGACAGACAGATATTAGTCCTATACCTTATATCACAGACATTCAGAAGTATCTGGCAAAGGGTTAATAACCATTCTCTAACGGGTAAAACTTCAAATTTCAGAATACTAACGCTCACGGTATCATTATTTTCAGGTCGAACTCGGATGCGAGAATTTTAGAGAGTGGGACACCACCCACAGACAGGTATGAATATTGTCTAGAATGTGAGAAAGCGCTTACAGAATTCGGGTGGTGTCGATTCTGTCATACCAAGGAATTAAAAAATGATTTTCCCAATTGGACAAGTGATAATAAAGACCTTGATAAAATAATTCAAAAATCTCAGTTAGATGCAACGGAATTTGCGGAATTTATAGAGTGGATTCAATGGGATCAATTTAGCATTTTTGAATTTTTAGGAAAAGGCAAGTTTAGTACCGTCTACAGCGCTTACTGGATAGAAGGTCCCAGACGGACATTGGATGGAGAGATCTATGTGATAAGAGATGGTCCCATTAAGGTTGCCATAAAAGTAATCGAAAACTCGCGAAATATCAGCAAAGGGTACTTGAATAGGGTAACTTGTTTATGTTCCTCTTTTTAAAAAATATTTCCGGGTGTCACGTGATAACGGGTCTATCTTTTTAGATTGCTAGGTACCTTAAGTGCATTCAGAACCGCTCTCTCGCAGAATTTTTTGGAGTGACACGAGATGAGAGTGGAAACTATGCGTTCGTAATGAAATTTTATGAAAACGGGAGCCTCAATCAATATCTTGACTACGCCATGGGAATATTTTGTTGGAGAGACATGGTCGACATGCTTTACGGAATATCCAAAGGGTTGGATCAGATCCACAAATATGGTCTTTATCACGGAAATCTTCATTGCGGAAATCTGTTGGTCGAAAATGAGCCGGGATCCATTGACATACGAATTTCTGATGTGGGTCTTCATTGTCCCGCAGAAGAATCGACGACCGCAATTTACGGAGTGCTGCCATACGTTGCGCCGGAAATATTGAGAGGCGAACCATACACCCAGGCAGCCGACGTTTATAGTTTCGGAATCATCATGTGGACACTACCGGCCGGTGTTAGACCATTTTGTGATAGGGCTCATGATGTGAAACTAGCACAAAGTATTTGTGACGGTCTTTGCCCTGAGGTAGTCGATGGTACTCCGGAGGTTTACGCTGAGTTGATGTCTAGATGTTTGGATCGTGATCCCACGAATCGTCCGAATGTCTCCGAAATATGTGATATATTGGAAAGATGGATCATCGCGATATGTGATGATCCGAATCCGTCTTCACTTTCCGATCAATTTGACGCAGCCGAGGAAAAAAAGTTTGCGGAGTTTGAAAGTAAGGCATTCACTCGACCGGAAATTCATCCGCAGGCGAGTTACATCAGTCAACCGTTGGATTTTCCAGAGTTACGAACTCAACGAAACCCACAACATCAGCATGCATTGGGTGTTTAAGGTTTACATTTCGTGCATTTTAATTTAATCATTCTTACACTTCATTCCGACAAATGATAACCATTAAAATCGAACCGTTTCCTTTAATCGTGTTTAATCGCTTTTATTAATTTGGTAAAATCTGGATAACCGAACTTTCGCGTATTTAATTTATATTATTAATATTTTGTATTAAGATTATAAGGTAAATCGAACCGTCCATGACGTATTCCGACCACATGATCATTAAGCCAATAAAGAATAATTATCTATTTATAAGAACAAGATGTACCATGCGCAAATAATTTGTTTTTATTGTTTTCCTTCCTTTACCATAAAAGTATGCGTTGTCCTAATACAGTAATTAAAAATTTGATGTTTGTGCATCTTGCAGGTGTTTCTGTAATTTAACAATTTTTTGTCGTTCATGATGACCGTACGTTTATGTCTAAAGGTGTAAGCATCAGGTACGCGTTGATGTCACTATCGAATGCGACGAAATTTTCCTTGCTAAATTTAGAAGACAATTTTGCGATTAGAAATATATGTTGCATGTATACAGTATATACGCATATATTCCGTGAAATTATGTGTCATGAGTCCTCTCGAAAGCCATTGGTGTCTTTTTTAAATAACAAGGTGGGCACAAACATTATATTAGTGCAAAATTGATATTAGTACAAAACGTACGTACAGTATATTGATTTCTTTGTTCCACCTTAGATGTCAAAGTTTTTAATGTGTTGCACGTGCTGTTACAGTATGTACGACAAATTTGAAGAAGTTCAAATAATAATAATAAAATCTCGAACGCACAATAAAAAGATTTATGCTTTCGTCTGGTATTACTTAATTTCTTTAGATAAGAGATTTGGTAATCGGTAGGTTACAAAAAAGATCTTACGAGGATAAAAAAGAAATACAACTCGTTATAGATAAACTCAATAGAGTGCTACAATAAAGTGATTGCCATATCGAGAGTTTGATTATCAATCAACACAAGCTTTTTTGATGTTTTTGATGTTTTTTAATATACAGATGATCACTAGAAAACATTGGAAAAAGAAGATTGGTGACACTTTTTTGGTCCATCGAAATCAATGTATAAGGAAAAATTGGGTTTGGGACCACAAAGGTTTCCAAACTGTATGCACACAACAATCATTCAACCCACATCCCGTATGAAATCTTATCTCAAAGATAACTCACTTATCCAATTAATCATGGTTGACAAAATAAATTTAATTAAATTAAAACGAACGTTTCAGTTCGCAAAAGTGAACCCGTAAATAATCATGAGAATCGCAACAACGAAATGGTCCACCCAATCACTTGGACGCCATCGAACGTTTAAATATTTTCAACTATACATAATTATCTTCTCATAAATATAAATGCAAGATTAATTTTTTTACAAAATCTTTTCTAATTTGGTCATCAGTATGCAGGATACTGCACATGTTTGATCATTCGTTTTGCGAGAATTCACAAATCTATAGTCAACTTCAATTTGTTATACTTCTAAATTATTATTATTATTGGTAGATCTCTTCTTTTTGTATCAAGAGTATGCGATGCGGTGGATATGCCTTAGGGGAATTCAAGGATGGTAAAGAACAGTGAGATTAGTAGGATGCGTAATTTAAAGAAGGAGAAACCATAGCTCGATAAGCATTATTAGACGAGGGCCTTAAGAGCTCCTCTAATTATCCGCGGGAACACGTAATTTAACCTTTAAACGAATGTTCGGATGGGAAATCAAGAGAAACCTTCGAATTGTAGATATTCCTCGTATTCCTCGTATTGGTCATGATCATGTGATCCATCGGAGGTTGTTAGTGATGGCAGATGAGATATTTGGTTGAATCTTGGTGAAATTGGGGAAGGTAGAATATCGAGTATTGGTTTTTGGCTTGATATTGTTCGAAGACTCATGGGACTATCGGGCACGATGACGTTCGTCTCGTTTGATAAATCTCTTTTGCGCTGTGAAAGGGAAAGAGGCATGGGAGTCGAGGAAGAATCGGTTGTCGGCTGTTGCTCGTGCAATTGTTCCTGCTGTTGTTGTTTGATCGTATTCACAGTTTCCAATTGGTACGCATTCAAATTAGATTCAAGGTAACTTGTCTTCATTGTCTGTCCGAATTGCGGATCATCCGGTGAGACGTAATAATAGGGAAGGAAGATTGCAGCCGATTTCGTTGTTCCAAAGATCAGGAAAAGAATTATACCGCTATTTTTTTTTTTTTTTTTTTTGATTTGTTTCCTTTTAGCAAAAACGATTTTTCAAGAGTGCGATTATAATTATCTGAAAACGGTGAAAATTCTTTTCGAAGCTTACATTAAAGAGCTAGAGTAGTCCGAGATGGACCATCCAACCGACACCGACATATCTCTATGAAACTTTTTCAACAGCGAAGGTAACAAAGATATTAAAAGTGCCATGGCGTATAAACACCCGCAAACCGTCATTCTCAATGATTGCCCAAATTTTATTGCAGTGCGACGATTTTGTCTGTTTGAAAAGAGTTTCCACCGATCCCACAGAATTATCCCGGAGTGAACTGACGCCGGTGTAGAAGGGGATAGATGATTAATATCTTCTGTCGTCCTCTTCGCGATTAGTTTCAACAACACTTAGCCTTTCGGCATTTTCATTCCTCACTTACCTGAGATTATCAGTGAGAGCGAGCTTAAAATTATCATCGGTATTAAATAGGATAGCCAAGCTCTTTCGGAGTCGGCTTGCACGCAGAAGAATTTGTTGGTGGTGACCCCCGCCTTATGATCGTTCGCCTCGATGACCCAGAAAATCGAGCTTCGTAAGATTGTCAATCCCCAGGTGAATCCCGTTAACCACCAGAAGCATCTTTGCTCAATTTGAATATTGAGTTTCACTATTGCGAACCATAGGTACACCGATAAAATGCCAGGGAATATTTGTAAAGGATAGAAGAATATCTGGGAGATTTTGGATTGAATTATGCAAAACAATGGTGGATTGATTGAAAAGGTGGTCAAGTCATCGCCATATGTCGTTATCGTTATCAGGTAAGTCAAGCCTAGACAGAAGGCGCACATGCAAATCTGAAAGAGTGTCCATTTCGCAAAGTATGACTTAGACTTTAAGATTGTTATCATAAGAAAAATCAACAAGGTCAAGCTTATTGATTGAAAAATTATATAAGTGATGAGTAGAGGGGAGTGAGAGGGCATAACGTTACGTCCTTCTTGTGTTCTCTCTCTCTCTCTCTCTCTCTTTTTTTTTTTACGATTAAATGATCTTTATTTTAGAAAGCGAAATTATGGGTGTGACGAAGCAACAACCGTGCATTTCCCTTTGAACAAAAAAAAAAAAAAGGAATACATGTAAAAAAAAAAAAAAAGAGTGTGTAAAATTTTATGAATGGAAGGGAGCGAGCTGTGATGGATAAACTCGAGTCGGAGCTGTTTAAATATACCAAGAGTGTATTTGTCCGGAAAAGGAAAAAAGGGTAAATTAGGAAATTCGGGGTTCAAAACGGGTGGTCATCAGCCGCGACCTGCTTTCCTTCGGTGGATTCTGTCTGACCTCGAACAGGTTATGCTTGATCAAAAATTTAGCCTGACAAGCGAGAATCAAATATATAATGCTCCAGTAATTTTACCCTTCCAGGTGTGCCATGTATCAGTTAAGAAAAACCGAGGACGGGTTCGACTTAATAGTTCCATATAATGTCAATCAAGGAATCACTTGATTTGCGGGGGGGGTATAAATTTTTCGTTATGTTTTTCCTTGATAAGTTGGAATATAAAAAGTATGCTGTGTTCCCGGATTTGGGACATGTGGCGAGATACAAGGTGTAAACAACGGAGCGAATTGTACTGCCTAAAATCGATGATCCTCCAATACGTATAGCTTTTTCATAAAATTTTCATTATACCAACATAATCGACATAAGGAAATTGGTGTCACACAATTGTATTTTCGAAATAACTGTCTGAGAATTTAGCGGACACCGTGGTCACGCAAATCAAAACGTCGGCTTATACATACTTGTAATTATTTATCCGCTCGATCGTTTATTAAGGATTTCATGTTGTGCATTTGAGCTAACAAACCATTCATGATCCTCTCTTGCTTCCTCTAGGTGAAACGGGTAATTTGATGTGCGGCACTAAAGATTCTAGGTGCATCGCCTAACTAAAAATAAACGGTGAGTAAGTAAACGGATTTTATACGATTGGCCAATATTTTCCCTGGCATAAAATTCATGAAGATTGCTTAATAAGACGGATGTTTTGGTTTAACAAATACGGTGTTAGACTATGCGTCTGCATAATTGGAAACGAGGCGGGCATTTTTCTTGATTTATTGTTAATTTTAGAGCATGTAAAATACCGGTTCACTCATTAAGCATATTGGTTTTTCCGAACCATCTTTGGACGGATCTACGGAAAAGAATTAATGTTAATAATTTTAATAGCTTGCAATCTACGAGATCGAGTGAACAGATGGAGGTACAAAATATCATACGTAGTATGGAACTACTAAAAAAGACAATTCGGAAAGGAAGAAAAAAAATAATTAAACGCTTGATGTATTTCATTTCTGCTTATGCGAACCTTAGAAAAAAAAACCTGTTTTCAATGCAATTGATCATATGCGTTAAATATTTCTAAAACATTGAGTAAAGTTTTGGATCACAAAGACCGTGTAGACACACCAAAATTCGAGAATAAATATGTCTTGTAAATGTTGTTTTGTTTCCCAATTCAATTTCAGAGATTTTAAAAATGACTAACCATTCAAATTATCGTCAAGTGAAAAGTTGAAATTTCTGATGGAATAAAAGTTATTAGATTTTATAACCAAACCAAGACGCAATATAAACATTAAAACAACATCTTTTCCATTTTCGTCAGGTCATACTATCGATGGACGAATTTCAGTAAGGAGCGTCGTTTTTTTTTTTGAAATTCGCTATCATTTAAATGGACGATCCGTTATTTGCCGATGAAGATCAATAAAGAGTCGATGACGATTGGTGAAAATTTTTAAACCAATTAACTAATCGTTTACAATTAAAGAACACGCCTATCTAAATAAGCGCTTGTCTATTACAAAAATAAATTGGATTTCTTTTTTAAAGAATCTTTTTTTTTTTTTTTTAATATCGTATTATCGTGAATCAGTTATATTTATTGGTTATATTTATTTGACAAAAATTATAACATTAATATCAGAGACTTTGGGACAAAATCCAATAAACAAATATCGATATCCTGGATATTTGTGAAACAAAACTTTTGACTGAAACAGAAACTTCACTTTCAAATTTCAAGAGATCCATAAATTCTTTTATAGTAGTAATGACAACAGACCTAGAGAATCAGAAGTAGGTTTTATAGTTAAAAAAGTTAAGTTATAAAAAAAAGGTAACATACTGTATATTGATAGATAGAGGGTCATATAATAGGAACCTACTTCTTATTAAAAAGTATAAATCAGCAATTATTTATCTTCTGAAAAGAAAGAAAATAGATGCTTGTAAAAAATTTTTAAAAAAATTTTTTTTATGAAAAATAAAAAGAAAGATTCAAATTTATTATTATAGGTAATTTTAATGCAATAATTGTTTCAATAATAAATTAATTCTCCCTTAACAATAAAACACTATCAAGATATAAGAAAGCTAAAATTGGATTATTCAATTTTCTTAAAGATTGAAACTTTATTAATAGTTAAAAAATATGAAAGATAGATAATAATAACTTTATATGATCTAATAAAACTATCTTTAGTAAAATTAATTACATATAGATTTTCACAAATATTGAGCTAAAATATATATATAACTTTTATAATCTTTCAATAAAACAATAACCTGTAGTGATCATACTTTTTCTACAATAAGACTTATAAACAATAACTTGTTTTAAAAAAAAGTCTTAAAATAATAAAAAAATAAAAGTATAAAATTTTTAAGTACTATTAATCCAATTATAAAATAATAAAAAAATATGGATAATAAATAAATATCAATTTTGATAACTTTAAACTATTATTTACAATAGTTATATTAAATCAAAACCATTTCAAATATCAAACAAAACATGAATCAAATAGAAATAGTAATAATTAAAGAAATCTATAAAATCTTAAAAAAAAAAAAAGATATTTTAATACTTAAAACAAATTAAGAATAAGTAGAACTATTCTTATACAAAACTACAAAGTTTATAGAGAAGCCAATAGGATTTAGCAACTACTCAAGTCAACTAAAAATCCTTAATTAAAAAATTTTTTTCTAAATTAATTAACAATATATAAAGACTTTATAAAAAGATACATAACTAAAAATTATTCTTTTCTCAAGAAGTAAGTAATATTGAACTGTAATTAAAAAAATAATTAAAATTGAACAAATTTTCAAAATGATCTGCAAAAAAATATATATAAATATCAAGAACTAGATATACAGTATAAGGTATTTAAAATTAGGTGTAAGAATTTTAAAAACAATAAAAAAAGAATTATAAGTTTGATTTTCAATTAAAGAAGATCTAAGATATTACTAGATTATATCCTAATTAAGAAATAAAATAGTTTAGAATATATAGCTACTAACTCTTAAACCATTAAGCAGATAGTTAAGTTTTATTATCAAAAGATTTTTTAAAAGAGAAATACAAATTTTGAAGATTTGAATTCAAAATAGAAAAAGAAATATCAATCCAAATTATTAATAAAAAAAAATTGATACAGTATCTGTTAATAACAAAAAGATCTTATTATAAGAATTAAAAGAAATGCTATAAGACCTTTCAAACAAAAAAAGCCTTCAGTCCTTTACTTATTAGCTATAAAATGTTAAAAATTTAAATAAAAAAAAAAATCTTTTTATTTAGTTTTTCAATAAGATCATAAAAGAAAAATAGATTTTCAAAAAATAAAAAAGTAGTAATATCTATTCAATATCAAAATTAAAATCTTGAAATTATGGACTAGATAATATAAAATCTATATTTTATTGAAAACAATAAAAAAATATTTTATTAAAATAATAATCAAATATCTAATATCAATATACAAAAAGTATGACAAATTATAAGAACTTAACTTTGCTAACTTATAAAATAAAAATATAACT